GCTGAAACATGCATGACTGATAAGTAGTTTGGCCTCCAACAGGTGTCAAGAGGGACGGCGGGTATGCCGAGTACGTCACACTGCGTTCGGAGGCAGTTGCTAGCGTGCCCGAAGACATGGACCCGGCAGAAGCGGCGCCGTTGTTGTGTGCTGGAGTTACAACTTTTAGTAAGCATTATTCAGCGCACTTGATAGAAATGGGTGAGTAGCGATTACGACGTACACAGATTCACTCAGGAACATGAACATGAACCCCCCTGAGCTCGTCGCTGTCCAAGGCATCGGGTATGCCGTATCCCTTTCCCTACACTTGCATTTTTCCGACAGGCACACAGCGGCCTTGGTCACCTCGGCATCCAATTTGCGCGTGCGATGGGCTACAGGACCGTGGCGCTCTCCACGTCCTCTGCGAAGGAGAAAGTCTCGCGCGAGCTCGGCGCACACGAGTACATCGACAGCTCTACGGAGGACCAGGCAGTGGCTTTGCAGCGCCTCGGCGGCGCGAAGGTGATCATGTGCACGGCGTCGAACCCGGCTGCGATCGAGGCGCTCATCCCAGGACTCACCGATGATGGCACCTTGCTCCTCCTCGCGCTCTCGCACAATCTCAGCCTACCGGTCGGTGGGTGCCTTTTGCTGGTTGTGAAACGGCATGCAGTGAGCTAACTTGACGGCACCGGACTTGCAGGACCAATGATTATGAAGCGACTTACGATTCGAGGCTGGCCGTTTGGGAGCGCGGCAGACAGCGAGGCATGTATTCGCTTCGTGCAGATACATAGTATCAAGACGCTGGTGGAGAAGTTTCCGCTTGAAGAGGCGCAGAGGGCGTTTGACGCACGCGCGTCGTCACTTTTCAGGGCGGTCATTGTGCCGTAAAGCCTCCATTATTTAGGTTCGGTTCCCAGAAGTCTAGGGGTAACCCGTAGAATCTTGAACTGTGTGTATTGAAAGAGGTGCTAGGATATTAATGGGAGCTACGGTCAGCCTTTGAGGAATATTGTGCGAGAAAGAAACACAGCTGCTTTACGATACTTTGGTGCCATTGTGTCCTGTAAGTTAGTGTATTCAATCTATATGGGCACCTACCTCGCCGTGATTAGCTAGCGTTACCATAGCGCACAGACCTGCTGGCCTTCCGGTATAAATTGGTATGCTTACTTGGCTGAGTATATACAACATAGATGTTCAAAGAATGATTTGAGACACTAGTCTCGGAACCGACGTTCTACAGAGAACCGCTATTCGCCGGGCGGAGATCGTAAAATGTGGGCGCGGTATCTCTGTAGAACGTCTGGTGACTTTGAGTAGGGCGGGTGTAGATGACCCCCGGGCCGTGGATTGCCGCCTCGAGAAAGGCGCGTCGACGCGCTCAGCGCGTCTCATTGACGCGTCGTACTTCGGTCGCTTTGTACTATAGCTATGTCGACCACCTCTCATTCAGCCAATTCAATGGACTGGGAAGCTCCACGGCGCCGTGCTCCTGCCCTATACCCCATCATCAGACTCCGGCAACCGCCCGCAATGGGCCAAGAGCATCAAGACGCGGCGGGGAGTGGACCCGCCCTTCATTGCGCCGAAGAAAACGAGCTCGCTCGACAAGCTGTGCTCATACTCAGGCTGGAGTTCGTCGACCGCCCGGGCCCCGCAGTCCCTGCCGCAGGTGCACACCCGCGAGCACGGCAGCCAGTATGTCGAGATCGAGATGCGGAGCAGTCCTGTGCTGCCAGAGATTATCACACCCTTGCAGGGCCAGCCCCTCTCGTACGGGCTCTTCCCCGACTGCGTGGTGGACCCCGATGCGCCCATCCGGAAGTACTCGGTGTCGCGCTTAGTCACTGCAGATAATTCTTGGTGCAGCGAGCGCCGGTTGCCGCCCCGCATGCCCCCTCGCACACCGCCTCGTACATCAATCTAAGGGATTGAACCAGGACCCAGTGTTCGTGGAGGACCATGTATTGGACTGAGGCCCTGGAGGTTGGATCTGATGCTGTATCTCACACATCTCTGCCATCCCTAGATTTATGTGTATTATTACTGTGTGGCCACCATGCCAAGGATGTATGTATGAGTATCTCAGTCTGAGTAATGTGATTTTCCGTAGGACTACTGTACATGTGGGGGTGTATTTGACCTTGAAAAGAAAACCGAGTACAGGTCAAGGCACAGCATTTAGAGTCAGGCACAGCGGGAGAAGATAATTTAGACAAGGTTTCGGTAGGAGGATACAGACGGCGGGCCACCGACCGCGACCGAGAGTGAAGGCGGGTGGCGGGAGGCGGCCCGGGGGTCATCTACACCCGCCCTACTCAAAGAGACCAGACGTTCTACATGCAATCCCAGTATCTCTTTTTCGATCTCCGCTGTGGATTTCCATGTAGAACGTCTGGATCGAGACTATTGAGACACGCACCTGCCTGCCGGAGTACTTCAAGTTGTCTCTGAAAATTCTACCCTAAAGGAGAAGGTGGCGAGCTGAGGCGAGCTCGGGCGGAGGACGGCGCCGCAATCAAAAGATAGGCCGGTGATGTCGTCGAGGGGGCGTCGAGCATGGCGTCATTGAGGGGACCGTTGAGCGTGGACGTCGATCGGGCTGCCATGATCGCGATCTCCAAATCGGGAGAGTCACGAATACTTTCTGGGACTGACATCGACCATTCGTCTGTCATGCGACTCGATTGACACCACGGCGCTGCAGTCCATTGCTCACTTGTCAATATTTATAATTAGGTATGGTTGGCATCACTGCGACGGCGTCAGAAAAGCCTCTGAATTTGTTGCATACAGCTCCGGCCTGAGCGTGATTTCCATATATTATCTGGAACGCGACATCGTTAACGTTGGAGCCCGAGGCCAGCTGTCGATCATGTTTCTTCGTCTCGATCATGTAGTAAGCTTCTGGACCAAATTCGAGTCGGTCTCAATTGGGCACTACCGGTACTGCTATCCGCCAGTGCTGCGTCTGTACTCTGCAAATCCATTCAATCGCAGGTACGTTACTTACTCCAGGCCTGGCTCCTGCTATTGTATTTGGGCCCCTCTGACCTGGCGCGGCGTGAAAGGTAACGAGGCTGTCCCGCGAGAGGCTCCCCGAGTTGACAGCTTCTATGCCTGACTGAGTCCTGCGTCCAGAAGTGACATTCACTACACAGAGGCTGAGCTTGCACGACACATGACGTCGTGATGGCGCAGAGGAAGCGAGGCCAGCTAGCTTGCATATGCGCTCAAGGCCCGGCATAAAAGCCGCGGACACGCTGCTGTCAAGATCAGTTCACAAATTTCCTTGAATCCACACTGGCAGTTCCTCGACACTCACCCGTCTCAATAACGTGAACACAATGTCTACACAAATTCCGAAGACGTATACCGCATACGCGTTCACCAGGAAGGACGGGCCGCTCGAGAAGATAATCGTCGACTGGAAGGATCCCCAGCCGGGAGAAGTCGTAGTCAAGGTCCTCGCTTGCGGCGTCTGTGCCGGGTATGTCTTCTCACTCACCGCACCACCACTGGCACCTGCGCGTTGCTTACCTTCCCTAATTGTCACCGAAGGGATGAGGTCCCAAAGGGCCAACACATGCCGTTTGTCACGTACCCCCGCATCCCGGGACACGAGATCGTCGGCATTGTCGCTGCCATCCCACCTACCGAGAAGAAGTGGCATGTCGGCGAGCGTGTCGGGAGTGGCTGGCACGGCGGACATTGCCATGCCTGCAGTCGCTGCCGCGTGGGCGATTTTGTCACTTGCGTCGAGGGAGATATCAATGGTGAGCCCAATATCCACCGGCTGGAACATGCACGGCTGATAAACAGTTTGGCCTCTAACAGGTGTTAAGAGGGACGGCGGGTATGCTGAGTACGTCACACTGCGTTCAGAGGCAGTCGCAAGCGTGCCAGAAGACATAGACCCGGCAGAGGCGGCGCCGCTGTTGTGCGCTGGAGTCACGACCTTCAGTAAGAATATATCTGCACACTTGTTCGGAATGGTAAGTATTGATTAGGACGCACATAGATTCACTCCGGCACATGAACATCCAACCCCCTGAGCTTGTTGCTGTCCAAGGCATCGGGTACGACACATCCCTTGTACTGCACTTGCGTTTTGCCGACTAGCACACAGCGGCCTGGGCCACCTCGGCATCCAATTCGCGCGTGCAATGGGCTACAGGACCGTGGCGCTCTCCACGTCCTCTGCGAAGGAGAAAGTCTCGCGCGAGCTCGGCGCACACGAGTACATTGATGGATCCAAGGAGGACCAGACGGCGGCGTTGCAGCGCCTTGGCGGCGCGAAGGTGATCATGTGCACGGCGTCGAACCCTGCTGCGATCGAGGCCCTCATCCCAGGACTCACCGATGACGGCACCTTGCTCCTCCTTGCGCTCTCGCATGATCTCAGCCTACCTGTCGGTGGGTACCTTTGCCTTTGCTAGTTGTGAGACGGCATGCAATGAGCTAATTTGACGGCACCGGACTTGCAGGACCGATGATTATGAAACGACTTACGGTTCGGGGCTGGCCGTTTGGGAGCGCGGAAGACAGCGAGGCATGTATCCGCTTCGTGCAGATTCATGGTATCAAAACGCTGGTGGAGACGTTCCCGCTTGAACAGGCGCAGAAGGCGTTCGACGCACGCGCGTCGTCGCACTTCAGGGCGGTCATTGTGCCGTAAAGCCTCCTTTTCGACGGTAGGTTCGGTTCGCAGACGTGTACGTAGTAGTAACCTGTATAATTGACTGTGTGTATTGAAAAAGGCTACGGTCAGCCTTCAAGTTTGAGGAATATAGTACGAGAAAGAAAATACGGCTAGACACAGCTGCTTCACGAAATTTTGGTGTCATTATGTCCTGTGTAACGTACCGGACTTGCCGCAGCCACCTCCAATATGTCGAGACCTTGACTCACCATGACCTCCTGAAAGAGATCAGAGGTGGTTGCGACAAGTCCGGCACATCATGCAGGCGGGCTAGAGACTTGGTTTTGATTAGCATAAATTGTTGTAGGACACCATAGCCAAGTGGTTACGGCGACAGATTCGAATTGTCCCTTATCTGTTTCACTTTGTGAGCGTAGGTTCGAGTCCTACTGGTGTCGTGAGAAACGATGTTTTTATCATGACAGATGTACCTTCCAATTTGTTTTGTGCATGTCGAAATCTTCATAAAATCATCCGGTTACAGCGCAGGCACGCCCAAATACCTGATTTGCGGTCAGTGTCTAGCTTGGCGCGTGAAACGAACGTCCGACCGGGCGCACCATGCAACAGGAACCGATAGCACCGGACAGGTGGGGGCGATCGCCCGACGTTTCGACGACATCCATCATATGCATGCATGCCAGTAAGCCCTTGGGTGATGCACGTCGTGACCGCCGAGCATCCGGAGGCTCAGAGCCATCTACCCCCGGTCATCACTTCAGCACCGAAGACATGCAATTTGATGTCCGAGGCACGCGGCGGGGCAATGGGACCGGGTGTCTGCTTTGCCGGGGACATTGTTGCCGCCGTCGTTGCGAACGACCGCAGCTACAGATTCAGATTCCATTTCGGTCTGCAAACCGCCGATCCCTCGGAGGATCCGGAGCGCCTGCGCGGGACGCTCAACAGCGCGCCTCTGCGTACGACCTAGATGAAATATTTGACACGACAGCTGGACAGCGCATTGAGCGTATGGCAGAAAGTCGGATCTGTCATTCATTCGACATCAGTGATCCACCATGCGGTACCTGCAAATGTGACACTTGACATACTTGACATACCAAAGCCCTGATTTCGTCGTGCGGCCCAGGGCAAATGATGCATATGCGGCGGTGTCCCTCGACAATTCATAGACAAGGCTTCGCCATGTTCTATTTACGCGCGCCAACCCCCTGCGCGTATGATTGAGCTAACAGTATGCTAGGTAAGAGTAGAATGCGACGAGTGGAAGGAATAAAAAGACGGAGAAAAAACCGACGCGATGCACCAACCAAAGACAGGATGAAGAGAACCAGAACTCGCAGCGTACGATGCACCCAAACCAGAGTGGAACACTGAGACTGGATTGAAGGGACACATTATACTAAAGTCACGATGAAACGAGCGACACGTGCACGGGACAGGAGGAGGATCCGAGTATGTACAGTATTCATGCTGACCGTTCTGGGGATGGAACGAATAAGAGTAGGTAGATAATGCATGCTATGAAAACTCCCGGAAAAACCTGCCTGAACACCCTGCTACAGCAGACCGCATTCCCGTAGGTGCAGTTGCAGTAGGATATCCTGAATGGCGCTCAAGACGACTGTAGAAAGGTAACCAAAGCAAGGCCGGAGCATCAGTAGGCATGTCAGCACAAGTAAGCCGGTTTTACGTACACTTGATCTGTTGTGTATCTGTGGCGCAAGTGTAGTGGGCATATATCTGTTTCGTCGCCGCGCTTTGATTGAGTGATACAAAGCGGTGTAGCAGATAATCGCATGCGGCATCATAGTTGTCGCCACCGTGGTAATCGGTGAAATAGTCGCCCAATGGCGAGCGGGGTAGCTTCTCCGCGAACAAATCGATCTTGTTGAGGAAAAGAATCTGAAGTACCGGTCAATTCGGCTCCATGACCGGATAGACGAGAGGTTTCTTACAATTGATGTCTTGACAAACCAGCGCGAATTGCATATCGAATCGAAAAGAGTAAGCGCTTCCTGCATACGGTTCTGAAATGCAGGTGAGACGCTGACAGAGGCCAGTACAGCCTGACACCACTTACGACACTCTCGTCCTCGTACAGCATCTGGTCATACTCGCTGAGACTGACCAAGAACACCAGCGCTGTGACGTTCTCGAAGCAGTGGATCCACTTTTTGCGCTCTGACCGCTGTCCACCGACGTCGAAGAGCTTGTACGTGAGCTCGCCAACCTTGAACGTTGTCTCGGTGATACCGGTTGTCTTGACACGCGACCGCAGAATATCCTGATCTGTTGGCAAGTAGTTGGGTGATGCCATGCGATCAATGGCAGCAAAGTAGTAGATCGCCGAGTCGTTGAGCTGGAACTCGCGCGAGCGTCGCACGGCATCCCTCACACCGGGGTCTCTCCACAATCCCCGAACAGCATCCGCAATGTCGGGCGCAAGGATGTCGGCTTCGAGTTGAACCGGGAGAGACATGATGACAGCACGACGAGCGTCGTTCTGAGGTGAGAGCTGGATGTCGAGGGCGGGGAGGGCGTCGAGGATTGCACTGCGAGGGAGCGACTTCAAGCACAGATCAGCTAGGCGGAGGCGTAAAGACCTACCGCATGGATTGGATAGTGTTGGAAAAAATGATCTCCTTGTACGAGTCGCGCTCTTGCTCGTTGTAGCCTCCATGATGGATGAGTTTCATTTGCTTGAGCACAGTCGACTACCAAAGTAGGACGCGGTATAAGCACGTCAGCACCGACAGACAATGTTGTATGCGCACCTTGCCCGACTCTCCGGCTCCCAACAGCAACATTTTTATCTCGTTCTTCGCCAGCATGCGGTCCTTCTTGAGCTGGCTCTCGATCTCGTCATTGCCTAGGGGGCGGTCACGTTCAGGACGCGCGGAGGAATGGGCAGTATGAAATGGAAATACTGACGAGCCTTGGCCTCATCGTCGACGCCTGAAGACTGAACACAACCCATCCTGACGGAGAAAGTGGGGAAGCAGATTTAAGGCGATGTAAGATTGAGAGCCAGACAAAAGAGTGAGCTGGACGCGGAAGGCCTGACGGGGAGGCGAGAGGAAAGAACGACCAATGGACAAGGGAAAGGAGGTGATCTGTAAAGGCGACCGGAATTGTCCATTCGCGGCCGCCCACAACAAACCTGCACAAACAATTCATATTGAATCGTGCCGCCGCCGGCCGGCTAGTCCGTCTTCTCCCCTGGGGCCGCTCCGCTGGGACAACTCTGCCATTTATCTGATCCTCTTTGTCGGCGTGCTGCCATGTCGACCACGGCACATTCAGTAGGCAGATAACAATGTCCATTGACAGTTATGTAGCGACGCAACGGAGAGGGGGATATGCAGATATACACAACAGATAGCGGCCATACTCCGAGGCGCGACGGACAGAAGCGTGCGCGAATATGCTATACGACACGAAAGCAGCTTCAAACAACCATGTCAAGTTAATTACGGATAGCGAGACATACGGAACGACGTCGAGAGACGCGGAAAGTGCGGACCATACTCTGCGCATCACGCCCGCGTCCCCCCAAACACAGCAGAGAGCACTGAAAGATACAGATGAAGCAAGCAGTAGTGGAGCAACGGATACAAAACTGCAAAGCCGCCCGGGTGTCGTCTCGAAACTGCGAGGGGATCACGGCGTGATGCAAACGCCACCAGAGACGCCCTGTGCGGGTCCGCATCAGCACTGTCAATGCCCGAACGCGGAACGTCCGCCACAGACAATACGCCCGCGCCCCCCGCATCATGGGGTGCGTTGGGGTCACCTAGTCATGTGGACTTGTCGTCAACGCGCACCCACATTCCGCCCTCCGATGGTGTGCTTGTTCCCGTCGACGTGTGTTCGCCGTCAACCCTATCGTCACGGCCAGTGCCCGTATTCTCCTTCTCAGCGTCTTCAGATACCAGGTCGTCGTTCTTGGGGGCATCAGCGTGAGCATGTTCGGCTTCCATCTTGGTCTTCTCCTCGGCTCTGATTTGCTCCTCGAGTTTCCGGCGCGCTTCCTCCTCCTCCTTCACTTTCAGCTCGGCCTTTTCCTTCTCCTTGGCCAGCAGCTCCTTGCATCTCTTTTCGCGCTGATACAACGGAAGAGATAGGACGAGCATCAGTCGGCAATTCCCGAGGGAGAGGGGACATCAGATAATCGATCTAAAGATACACACCTCCAGCTTTTCCTTGAGCTCGCGCGCTTCCCGCTCCTTTCTCAATCGCTCCTTCATCTCTCTCTCGCTGACGACCCAGGTGGCCGCCTCAGTCGCTGCAGCTTCAGGTCGCGACTTGTTTTTGAGCAGATCTGTTTCCCACCCGATCAACGCATAGGCGCGCAGCAAACAAGATCGTCAGCACATTCCCTGTCACGCACAGCGAAGGACAACGTAGACATGAAAAACGGGGAGCAGGAGAGGGTGGTATCAATTATGCATCGAAAGGAGTACTCACATCCTTGCAACGCTGCCACACTGAACTCCTCGTCCGGTATCGCGTCCGCGAAAGTCTTCGCCAGCGCCGCGAGGGTAATCCCATCCAACGGTTTAGCTGAGTGCTTAGCCGCAGAAATCTCGTCTTCGATCGGAGGTGGCAGATACGCCTGTTCCCTCAGGCTATCCTTCCTGGATCTCACCGGTGGTGTGATGTCGCCCGATGCGAAGGACGACAGTGATGGTGAGGACGGCATTGGACTCATTGATCTTGCCATCGAGAACAGCGAGGAAGATCCTACAGACGAGCTCGCAGAGGGTGACGGAGGCATGGGGAGCTCAACGCCTTCCAGTTCACCTTCGATCACGACGTCATCTTCGTCCGTCGATGGGAAGAAGTTGCGGAAGAGCAACTCAGCTTGCCACTTGGACGCGTGCTTGAACTCAACCCAAACATCCATACGTCCGGGGCGCGACAGTGCAGGGTCGAGACGCTCAAGGTGATTGGTCGTACTGATGATCGCCATGTGAGACAATGGGGACCACAGGTGAGTGCACGATCACTCACGCAAACAAGATGCGACCTTCTGATGCCGCAACACCGTCCAACGCGTTCAACAACCCACTCAAGCTCAGCGTGTTAACCTCCGACAGGGTTTCGGTCTTATGCCGTCTGGTATGGCGCGTTGGGAGCTCTGTCGGCTCCTCGGCCGGTGCGGTGCTATTTGACTCAGGACTTCCTGTCGACGTGCTGTCTCTCGAAGTGCTTCTCGTGAAGGCAGCATCTAGGTCCTCCAGCAATACTATGCATCTTGCTGGCACTCGACCCATTAGCGTGGTGAGTGTGCTGTCGCTGATCCATGATGACGACAAAGATACGACGTAGATGTCCAGCATGAGCTCTCCCGCGATCGCATGTATGAGCGAACTCTTCCCCGAGCCCGGTACTCCGTGCAGCAGATACCCGCGACGGAAGGGGATGCCACGGT